TCAGATGGGTGTGCTGTTAATACCCAGACAGCAGTATCTGGGGAGCATTTGTGTGTCAAGACACAGGCCCATCATTACAGTGATGATGCGATTTGGTCTTTAAACATAGTCGTATGCCTGTTCCACATGTTGTTTACTCCAGAGACATACCCTACACAAGTACACAAAAACAGATGGGAATGCTTGGCCGGTGCATTGCCAGGATCTTCTAGGATCTGTGGATTTCAGCTCTCTGTGGATACGTATGGAACCATCCTTTGATGAAATATTGGAATATTTTATACTTTAAAATAAATGAAATGGATCTGCAAGGTTTTCATTTTTTGAAGAGAATTTTGAAATATTACTGGATACAAAACTAAAAAGTTCAAACTGTCTTCTCAAACACTGTTTCAGCTTCAAAACGATGAGTTAAGAAAATGTTTATTGCTTCAGGCCTTCCATAGTTCTCTGTACATCAACAGCTGTTACTTTTATATAATGTCATTGACTTACTGACTGTTTTTAGCTTAGTTTAAAAGTTAGAAGAGTTTTTAAATGAGTGATTCTGAGACTCAAAAAAGTTAAAAAAGTTCTTGTCATTGCATCTTAATAAAATAATACAGCTTTGCAGACAGATAGATATATACTGTTCATAGACAGACAGAAAAAGACATAAAATAAGAGTTTTGCATTTTAAGTTGCATACTAGGATACTATAACTTTTCTTTCTAGACCCTTTTTATTGGGACATGAGCCCTGAAATACCGCTGTACCCCAGCAAAATATATTTGATAAATTCATGTCTGACAATGGTGGCGACCACATACCCTATTAGCTATTAAGAATCAGCATTTGCAATGCCAGATTTGTGAATAAAAAGTCACTCTTTTGAACTAATTGGTCCAACGGGTTTTCAAAAAGGTGTGAAACTGTTCATGATTCAGTTTAATTAAGCACTGAATTATTTCCAGCAGTTTCTCACACTGAAATAGTAATGGGATTATTTATAAGAAAGCAACAAGAGAGCTGTGTGACATGGATATTTACATATTATATCCATATATAAGAGTATTACAAAAAATATATATAAAGTACAGATCAAGGTTATTTTCGTAAACGAAAACTAAAACTAAGACGAAAACGATTGGTCAAAAAACATTTTCATAAACTGAAATATCAAAAAATATAAAAAAATAAATTGATGTGTGTCGGTTTAGGGAAATACCGGGAAATACCCGTGAATGGCGCATCATGCACGTGAGGTTATCTGACGGAGAGACGCAGAGCAGTTTAAAGCAGAGTCCTGCACGGGTCCTCTTTGGTAAACCTGCATCCGCAGTACACAACAGAACACCCGACCCGTTATCAGTTATAGCTGTATTGTTGGGAACATGCTTGTTCCAGAGCAATCCGGTCGTTATTCGGAACATGCTTGTTCTGAAAGCTGTAGTTGAATTGGAACATGTTTTTCTTAAGTCTAGCTGGTGTTATTGAGAATGCTGCTTAAGCTTTTAAGGTATTGGCAACATATTCATTGGTCAACTGTTAAAGGCAACAGAATTGATGCTACAGGTTATGCGGGTTTTGGCAACATATTTGACTGGTCATTGGTTAAGGGCAACATGCTTGTTGCTTAAGGCTTTGAGATTTTGCTATCAGTTTGTGTTGGGGGATATCAGCATATGGTTTTGTTTTGGGGGGTTATTGCTGCACTCCCTGCTCTCATCCATGCTAGGCTGCATGGATGCGCAGGGAGTTCTTGCCCAGAACAGAACCATACCGCCAATCCAAACTGTAAGCTAATTGTCAATCATATTTGACGATAGTGGTCCTGACAGAACTGTCTATTTGTACAGTGTTGATAACGGCAAGTTAAATTATGGTGCTGAATTGACATTGATTTCGATTTTGTTTTGAACAGTTTATTTAGTTTCTTAAAAGAGGTAGTTTCTTTTGTTTGTTATTTTGGCCTTGCCCCCTTCCGAAGTTAATTTAACACTTCCATGTATAAATTGTTGGTGTTATTATGTTATCTTTTTTCTAGGTTATCTTGATAATAAACCTCTATTGCTGCTCGATTAAGTTGTGGTTATTGAATAGCGCTGATGCGGTAGGCAGGGGCTCTGCAATGTGTGTTTAAATTACTTGGTCTTTGCCTTGTAACTGTTCCTCCTCCTGTTCCCTAGACCAGGGAGGTCGTAACACCACCAACAGTAAAATAAAGAAAAAAACAACTCACCTGCAATAAGGTGTTTACGTTTGACATGGTGTGAGACATTTGAAAAAAAAATTTGATCTGAGCAGAAACATTTGAATTGGACTTCAAACTACATTTGAATGTAGCTTGAAACGGATTTGTAAAAACTGTTTTTCATCAGATTTGTTTGCCATTTACACTTGCTAAATATGATCAGATTCCAATCAAATATGCACAAAAATCTGATCTTTTATTGGAAAATTAACCAACTGAATAGTATTCAAACTACATTTTATAAAATCACCTATCAAGTTCCTGGATTTATTTTTATGTATTATACATAAATCACAGAAGTGTATTGGGAAAATAAATAATTAAATTAATTAATTTTCTCTTGTCCCCTTTAAGAATGCTATCTAATAAGCCTATGCTAATGATGCTTTTTATTTTTTTATACGCAATTCTTTCCCTGTAAGTTGTAAGTAATTTGTGCAAAGTTAAAAGAAATATGTGCAGTGATATGTCCTCCCCTGACTGCAGCCTGCTCTTGTCTACCATTGCCATCAGATTGTGCTTTCTGAGGGACAATGCTTTGTACTGCTAACATAAATTCAAATGTTTATGCTGCTGTGACATATAAACTAATGTTGCTCAAATTCAATATGAAATTTATACTCACTGATCATACTAGATGGTACATCCCTACTGTGATCTGAGGCACTGCTGTCATGACTGGCACTGGAGAGTCTGCGATTCTGAGCCATCTTTAGGGAAAAAAAAGAATATTAATGAAGTATCCATCATATTTACAGTTTAAATAATATTTTTAATGTTCAACATATAAAGCAATTGAATAATGTAAGATGTCCTTATGAATCTTAATTCTGTGATATCTTATTATTGAATTGCCAAACACTAAAGATGGAACTTGAAGGATGTTTTTGTCCTCCTTAAAACCTTGAAAGTGCATAAGAGATGTCATGGAGTGTTTTAGCACTCAGGTTAACAATTAACAAGACTTTTGGACAACAGCCTGGTGTCAAGAAGGGCAGCAAAGAAGCCACTTCTTTCCAAGAAAAACGTCAAGGACAGACTGAAATTCTGCAGGAAGTACAAGGATTGGACAGCAGAAGACTGGTGCAAAGTTATTTTCTCTGATGAAGCTCCCTTCCGACTGTTTGGGACATCAGGAAAATCGATTGTTC